AATAATTCAGATCCTAGTTCTAATCAAGGTGAAACTAGTTCTAAACAAATTAGACCACTAGAAAGTCCAGAGGAGCCTAGGAGAAGTAAAAGAACTAGAATAGAAAAGGTCCATGAAGATTTCTATGCATTACTTGTAGAAGATTCTCCAGTTACATTTGAAGATGCAATGAAATCAGTAGATGCTCCATTTTGGAAGGAAGCTATAAATAATGAGATACAATCTATAGTTCAAAATCATACTTGGGAACTAACTGATCTTCCTTCAGGATGTAAAACCATAGGATGTAAATGGGTGTTTAAGAAGAAACTTAGACCTGATGGAACAATAGATAAATATAAAGCCAGATTAGTAGCTAAAGGATATACCCAAAAGTCTGGTATTGATTATTTTGATGTCTATTCTCCAGTAGCTAGGATTACTACCATTAGAGTCCTCATAGCTCTAGCATCCATTCACAAATTAATAATACATCAAATGGATGTTAAAACTGCATTTTTAAATGGAGATTTAGATGAAGAAATCTATATGGATCAACCTGAGGGATTTATAGCTTCTGGACAAGTAAAGAAAGTATGCAAACTTATTAGATCACTATATGGCCTCAAACAAGCTCCAAGACAATGGCACATGAAATTTGATGAGATTATACTATCTTATGGATTTGAAATTAATCAAACAGATGAGTGTGTATATCATAAAATAGACAATAACAATAAAATTGTGATTTTATGTTTATATGTTGATGACATTCTTATTTTTGGTTCTGACATACAAATCATAAATGATATCAAACACTTTTTATCACAAAATTTTGACATGAAAGATTTAGGTCAAGCTGACCTAATTCTTAATACTAAAATCATGAAAAATGAGAATGGATATGTGCTATCACAATCACACTACATAGAGAAAATCCTTAAGAATTTTTATGATCCAAACTGTCAACCTGTTTCCACTCCATATGATCCTAATGTACATCTAAAGAAAAATACAGGTCATCCTCAATTACAAAGAGAATATGCACAAATAATTGGATCACTAGGATTCCTAACAAACTACACCAGACCTGACATTGCTTATACAGGTTATCCTCAATTACAAAGAGAATATGCACAAATAATTGGATCATTAGGATTCCTAACAAACTATACAATACCTGACATTGCTTATGCAGTAAATAGACTTAGTAGATATACATCAAATCATGATAAGAGTCATTGGGATGCTCTAGAAAGAGTTTTGAGATACCTAAAAGGAACTATGAATTATGGTTTACACTATAAAGGTTATCCATCTGTACTAGAAGGTTATTCAGATGCAAATTGGATTAGTGACTCCGTAGATGTAAAATCCACCACAGGATTTGTGTTCCTTTTAGGAGGAGGAGCTGTGTCCTGGAAATCTACTAAACAAACTGTAATGGCTAGAAGTACAATGGAATCAGAAATGATAGCTCTTGATACTACTAGTATAGAAGCTGAATGGTTGAAAGATTTACTAACTGAAATTCCACTAATGCAAAAACCATTACCAGCTATTTCTATTCATTGTGATTGCAGGTCAGCGATTGACAAATGCCATCAAGAGAATGCAAATGTGAAGATGAATCGACACTTGAAAGTGCGACATAAATCCTTGAGATATAAGATGAAAAACCATATAATAGCCTTAGATTTTGTAAGATCAGAGAAAAATCTTGCAGATCACTTAACTAAAGGCTTATCTAGGGCAGTGGTCCTAGAATCATCGAGGGGGATGGGGTTAAGCCCATAAGAAAAATCACTGCAGTGGCAACCCAACCTCGCAGAGGTTCAATGGGTAGAAACAAACTGAATGAGTGATTAATTGTGAGGAGCACTGAATTTATTTGCTCCCATCCCTAGGGTGATCAGTGCTCATAAAAAGCAAGTGAAAGGTTGAGTCTAACTCTTAATGAATCCAAGACCCATGAGGCAGGATGCTTACTTGCTCGCATCCTTATTAGGATTCACCTATATGTGTGTAGTTGTGAGGCCGCGACTATGGGATCAGGGCTGCTCCCTAGTAACACACATGAAAGATACCTGCGCAAGGCCGATAATAGCGCAACCCGTTTAGAATTCTTCAAAACTGTACTATGTGTGCTTTCTGTAGAAATCCGATAAATGAGACTGGTTCAAGGCGAGAAAGACCAGAGGAGCCTAGGAGAAGTAAAAGAACTAGAATAGAAAAAGTCCATGAAGATTTCTACGCATTACTTGTAGAAGATTCTCCAATTACATTTGAAGATGCAATGAAATCAGTAGATGCTCCATTTTGGAAAGAAGCTATAAATAATGAGATACAATCTATAGTTCAAAATCATACTTGGGAACTAACTGATCTTCCTTCAGGTTGTAAAACTATAGGATGTAAATGGGTATTTATGAAGAAACTCAGACCAGATGGAACAATAGATAAATATAAGGCCAGATTAGTAGCTAAAGGATATACCCAAAAATCTGGTATTGATTATTTTGATGTCTATTCTCCAGTAGCTAGGATTACTACCATTAGAGTCCTTATAGCTCTAGCATCTATTCACAAATTAATAATACATCAAATGGATGTTAAAACTGTATTCTTAAATTATAGCTCTAGCATCTATTCACAAATGGATCAACCTGAGGGATTTATAGCTTCTGGACAAGAAAAGAAAGTATGCAAGCTTAAAAACAATGGCACATGAAATTTGATGAGATTATACTATCTTATGGATTTGAAATTAATCAAACAGATGAGTGTGTATATCATAAAATAGACAATAACAATAAAATTGTGATTTTATGTTTATATGTTGATGACATTCTTATTTTTGGTTCTGACATACAAATTATAAATGATATCAAACACTTTTTATCATAAAATTTTGACATGAAAGATTTAGGTCAAGCTGATTTAATTCTTTAACACCAAAATCTTGAAGAATGAGAATGGATATGTGCTCTCACAATCACATTATATAGAGAAAATTCTCAATAACTTTTATGATCCCAACCTGTTTCTACTCCATATGATCATAATGTACATCTAAAGAAAAATACAGGTTATCCTCAATTACAAAGAGAATATGCACAAATAATTAGATCATTAGGATTCCTAACAAACTACACCAGACCTGACATTGCTTATGCAGTAAATAGACTTAGTAGATATACATCAAATCCTGATAAGAGTCATTGGGATGCTCTAGAAAGAGTTTTGAGATACCTAAAAGGAACTATGAATTATGGTTTACACTATAAAGGTTATCCATCTGTACTAGAAGGTTATTCAGATGCAAATTGGATTAGTGACTCAGTAGATGTAAAATCCACCACAGGATTTGTGTTCCTTTTAGGAGGAGGAGCTGTGTCCTGGAAATCTACTAAACAAACTGTAATGGCTAGAAGTACAATGGAATCAGAAATGATAGCTCTTGATACTACTAGTATAGAAGCTGAATGGTTGAAAGATTTACTAACTGAAATTCCACTAATGCAAAAACCATTACCAGCTATTTCTATTCATTGTGATTGCAGGTCAGCGATTGACAAATGCCATCAAGAGAATGCAAATGTGAAGATGAATCGACACTTGAAAGTGCGACATAAATCCTTGAGATATAAGATGAAAAACCATATAATAGCCTTAGATTTTGTAAGATCAGAGAAAAATCTTGCAGATCACTTAACTAAAGGCTTATCTAGGGCAGTGGTCCTAGAATCATCGAGGGGGATGGGGTTAAGCCCATAAGAAAAATCACTGCAGTGGCAACCCAACCTCGCAGAGGTTCAATGGGTAGAAACAAACTGAATGAGTGATTAATTGTGAGGAGCACTGAATTTATTTGCTCCCATCCCTAGGGTGATCAGTGCTCATAAAAAGCAAGTGAAAGGTTGAGTCTAACTCTTAATGAATCCAAGACCCATGAGGCAGGATGCTTACTTGCTCGCATCCTTATTAGGATTCACCTATATGTGTGTAGTTGTGAGGCCGCGACTATGGGATCAGGGCTGCTCCCTAGTAACACACATGAAAGATACATGCGCAAGGCCGATAATAGCGCAACCCGTTTAGAATTCTTCAAAACTGTATTATGTGTGCTTTCTGTAAAAATCCGATAAATGAGACTGATTCAAGGCGAAGTCCACCAAGCTCTCACGGATCTATACAACTGTCACTAAGTGAAGGTTCAAACTGAAAGGTATCACCACCTATTACATAGTATAAGGGAACCAGCAATCTTATTTATTTGTTTTTATTCTACTTTTATTTCTGAATTATTTTAAGTTTTAAGTTATGTGGGAGATTGTTGGAATTGTAACTTAAAACTTGGGTTTGTAGAGGAAAAGAGGAAAAGTTTAGTCCCACATAGTCTTTATAAGCCTTCTCTTTCTCTCCTATGCCTAGAAGAAAACAAAGGTTATGCTCCACACCACACACGCGCGCGCCGGCCGGGCCGGGCTCGGGCTCGGGTTCGGGTCGGGTGGCGTGTGCACACTTCCTGCGGACAACGGTAAAAAATTATTGGTGTGATTAAAAACGTGATAAATATTTTGTGAATTTATTATGTAACAGAAATGTTTTGGTTTTATAATGGCTAAGTTTTATTAACGTGATTAAAAACGTATTAACTGCGGGTTTATGTATAACGGCTGTTTAACCCTATAAAAGGACCAAAACCCGAATAGTTTTACACCGTGTGCAGACATCATTATTTCGACGGAGCACAATTGATGAGTTCGGAGCACGAAAAGGTGCAAAATTCGGGTGGTGGTTTTATTCATGCAAAAGATGATTATGCACTCGATTTCGTCATTGTTACTTACAATGTTAATTAACTTGGAAACTAATAATACGATCTGCTCATTCATTAACAACTATAATCGAGCTTAATTCCCCACACACCAAAATTTCCAAAGCTAGTACTGAATCCAGTAGAAAAGCCCAAATCACAAACTCCCATGGATTCCTTTTTTTTTTCCTTCTGATGCTTGGGTCTCTCATCTCTGTGGACTGAGGAGACTTCACTATCACAACCAACCAAAAAAACAATTGAGAGGATTAAAAACCCACAAAATTCTGCCTTCTCTCTCCCCCTCACTGTATAATACTTGTCTCTTTCTCATCAAAAGATCCGCCATTGTCTCTGGGCGCGTGCAGTGCCATAAAGGCAGCTGCTTGCAACGTGTCAGCGTTCTCAGTGTGCGTTCTCTCTCCTGCTGCCACCATTATTTGGCAAGTTGAAAGGGGCTAGAGAGAGAGAGAGAGAGATTGTAGAGAGAGAAAGAAGGGAATGCTTCAGTGAAGAAGATGAGATGAGATGAGATATCAAGACCCAGGTTTTATCCAGCTGAGTTTCTCTAATCTTCAAGCTTACTGTTGCACTGTTATGGCTTTCATGAATTTCTTGTTTTTGCCTGGCATTTTTGGCTTTTTCTAGGGTTTAAGGCACTGGGTATTTTCCAAGAGTTGTTCTGATGGCAGTCATGCTTTGATCCAAATTTCTCTAGGTGGGGTGGATGTCTTAGGAATTTGAAGAATTGGGTCTTTTTCATTTATCATTAGATGTTGTAGCTATTTTGAGTTTGTTTGATTTCTAAGAGAAAATGATGCTACATTTGCTTCTGATTTAGATGCCATGTTGCTAGCCCTTCCTGAGTTTTTGATGTTTCAGGAGTTTAAAGAACTGGTCTTTTTTTCTTAATTTCATTAAAAGATACGGCTTTTTTCTTCTTTTTTCTTTCGTGGTCGCATGCAAGCGTGAGAGCAAAAAATGTTTCAGAATCAAGGGCCCGTCGAGTCCAAATTCGGGTCACCTAGTGATAGATTTAACAAAATGTTTCTGGGGAAAACAGCTGGAGAAAATCTGGAAGATGGAAAAGTAGTCAGTGAGGAGGAGAGAATGAGAATGTTGTTTGGAAAAGAGGTGGCTCTTTTGGAGAAGGATGAAGTGGAGGGCTCGAAAGTTGAACACCAAATTTCCATGGAGATTCTCTACCAAACCAATTGTGATGATAAACACAGCAACTCTGTGTTATCTGAGGCTTTGAAAGATACAGATGAATTGGAGGGTAATGCTGTAAGTGCGGAGGATATGACGGGCAATTCTTCAGGTGTTTGCCGACAAGTGCCCTGTCGTATAGTTGAAACTCTCGGTCATAGCATAGTATCTAGTCTCCACTTGGCTAGTGTACCAATTAAAATTGATACTCAAACTGACCCCTTGCCAAATCTTGAAGAAATACGAAGATCACTAGTCAATCAAAGAGCCAAAGATTTGAAATATCACGGAAAGATGGATTCTGGTCGCTTACGATCAAATGCATACAATCTTCTTACTGATGTTGGATGGAAAATCAAGACGCACAAAAGGAAAATCTCTGATAATGTTGATTTCATATACACATCACCTGGTGGTGATCGTGTGTACTCTATCTCGAAAGCCTGGGTGATGTGTGGCAAGGGTCTTTATGCAAAGGCACCGGACTCCAGATATGATGAAATCGGAAGAAAATGGTTTAATATCGACGAGTTGTATGTTGACATGATGAATACTCTCGACTTCTTAGAAAAAGAAACTCTCAAGTTGTCTCATCTCCTTCGATGGCAGCTTCTTGATCCCTTCGTAGCTGTTGTATGCATGGACAGGAAAATAACATTTCTTAGAAGAGGAAAGGCTTTGAGGGCAGTAAACAGTTCGGTATCAATTATTAATGGAAGTGAGAACATCATCATGAATACAAAGGGTGCACCATTTTTGGTAACTGACGGCAAATATGAGGTTTCTGAATATTGCAATAAACAAGCTCCCGGTGATGCATATGTACACTGCAGAAGCCTGAAGAGCTTAGCGAGGCATATTGGACAAGGATTTTCTTGTACTAGAAACTCAGAGCATATTAAAGGCAAGGCTTCAGCTACTAAAAAAAGAAATCAAGCATCTAAGAGCGGATTTTCAAATAAATCACAATCTTATGCTCTTAGAGATACAGAAGTGTCTTGTTCAAACAAATTCATAGATTGCACAATTCAGGATAATATGGCTGCTTCTAATCCCAATGAAATTCCTTCAGGAATTCAACCATGTAAATATATGAAAATTGATGAAGGAGGGCTTTCTCAGGATTCTACTATTATAAGGGGCAACAATGTCAGAAAAGTTCTTAATTTTGAAGAAATTGACAAGACTGGGTGCTGTTTAACTCCTGAAGCCAAACCAAAATACTCTAACAACGAACTTCGGCAAGAGGAGTCAAAACAAGAGATTCAGCTGAACACAATTTTATCGGGAGATACTTCTACGTCATTTGTACTGAACCAGACACCTGTGCATTCTCAGCAAGAAGAACAAGTACTGTATCTTTATCCCCTGCAGGAAACCCTGTGCTTTAATACTGCAGATGGCACAGAAGAAGTTAATATGCCACAAGTGACGCAACCTTTTCTCTATCAACCGAGCCTTGCAGGAACCTTTTTTATTTACAGTATAGATAGCAGGAACCTCACAAACAACATGAATTTTTCTCTGCAACATGAAGAGTATCATTCAGGTTCTCATGAATATCGCAGTTTAGATGATAATGTGGCAAGTAGCTCAAAAAAACCTAAAAGTCGCAGACAGAAGAAGTCTAAGAAAATATCAGAAATTGAAGCAATGGAAGCAAAACTATCAGGCAAAAACTACGTAGAGGCCTTTGTTCACGATAGGGTCGCCTATATAGAATTTTCAGCTCCTCACAAAGAGAATATCAAATTGAGGTCATCAAATCTCGAAGATTCTCTCAAAGTACAAAGTGGCAAATATGATGTAACAGAAGCTGTTTCATTGAAGAAGAAACGCAAGAGGCCAGCAAAGTCAGAAACCACAGCAGCCAGAAGAAATAGAAAGGTGAAGGACACTCCGCCTACACCACTAAAGGATGAATCCGGAGTTACCATGTTGAAATTTGATACAGAACAAGAAAATGTAGCAGCACGTGTATTAAATGATAGAGTGATTCAATCTATATCTAATTGTGAGAATAACCCCATTGTAGATGTGGGTCTCGTCAATGGCGAGCCTCTAGCAAATAAATATGATGGTGATGAAATTAATTCCGCTGCCAAATCAGGCTGGTCTAGATGTTATCGAAAGCGTAAAAGCCGTACAAGAGGCTCTAATTATTCTTTACAAACTACTGAAGACGGTGGAAATCAAGTAGCCCTGGAATCAAGAACTATATTATGCTGGTTGATTGAGAGAAAAGTTATTTCTTTAAATGATACCATTGAATACCGTAATTCACTGGATAATGCTGCAGTGAAAAAGGGCCTGATCAGGAGAAATGGAATTCTATGCCTGTGCTGCGACAAGATTTTTTGTGTCTCTGATTTTAAGTTTCATGCTGGCTTTGAGATGCACAAACCATCTTTTAATCTTTTCTTGGATTCAATGAAGACATACACTCTATGTGAGATTGAGGCTTGGTCTGCTGAGTACAAGGCAAGAAAAGGTTCTATGCCGCTGTTGGGAGTTGAGGAGAGGGATCAAAATGATGATGTCTGCACACGGTGTGGAGATGGTGGTGAATTAGTATGCTGTGATGGGTGTCCGTCTTCTTATCATCGAGATTGCTTGCCCTCAGAGGTCTGTAATAAATCATTATTCACTATAACAAGTATGTCTTGGAAGTACCTAGCATTTTTTTCACTGAAGGTATATTGTATAATGTGGGCTAATGTTGTCTTGATATGTCATATTTGTCCACTAATTATCTAATTACTGTGAGATACGATAATCTTGATGCCACCAGGGGTATGATGAACTCATGCGTATTAGAGTACAAAATGTGGGACTACTTAAGAAGATATCATATGATAATTATGTGTTGTAGTTAGTTTATCAGTAGAGTTGCATGCTTAAGAAGTTCAAATTGGCTCCTCTTCTGTAGATGTTACCGATGTTACCGAGGGAATAGCTCTTGAACTTTTGACTTCAAAAGCAGAAGGATATTTCTTTGGAGGTTGCTCCAATCATTAACTTTTATTTCTCGAGATCTCTAGACAACATACATCTGAATGGGGTTTTCTAATTTTGTAATTTCTTATGTGCATGATATTTTTTGACTTTAGCCAATTTAGGTCTCCTAATTTGGAAGGTTGCAAATTTGGAATTTTGATACAACAACAGACTTCAAGATGACATCCCTTTTAATATTTGGTGCAGTGACAATGTTGTCAAATGAAAAATGTAAAAAATGATTGAAACTGGAGTTTCCAATTGTGAGAGGCCATTTGGAATCCATTTAAAGGCTGTAATTTACAATGCAATTTAAGTCCACATACAAGAAAAAGCTATGTAAATTTTAATTTATAATCAAGTCTCCCGAAAGCTGTCTATGTCCTTATACAAGCCTGGAGCAAATTTTGACTGAAATAGCAGAATACACTTAAGCGATTTCTAAAAGAGCAAACAAATAACTGACTTGCCAAATCTCGTTTAAAAAATGAAAGATTGGGGATCCTAATTAGTAATAACAAGTCGCAAAAATTGCAAAGGAAAAAAAGACATGGATTTGACCCTCTTCTTAGTGAGATTTCACGATATATAGGCTTATATCCAGTGAATATATTCTAGCTCTTGTCAAGAACTTTCCAACAATAGTTCATTTCTTTAATGTTGACACTGAAATAGAAAGCTCTGCTGGAGATAACACTGTAATTTCAAATTAAACAAATTAGTCCAGATAGGGCTAGTGCAAAACCTTCTACATCATTTGGAGACTTTAGATTTGAACAGGATAGGTTCATCTTTCTTGTCATTCACCCAACCATTAAAGTTAATAAACTTGGAGGTTATATCTTGTTTCTTCTTCCATGAACCATTCGAGATATATAGATAGCTCAATTTAAGAATACATGTTTTTCATCTTTTGTCATTTAGCAACTGTCTCGCTTCATCTGTGATATCTATGCAAATATATAGTTTGTCAATTGTTAACCCTAATATGCATTGAATTCCAATCTCATATTGTACTCTTAGATGATGTTAGTTGTTAACTTTTATGTATTTTAAGCTAAACCTTCTGTTTTCTCCAGGACCTTCCAGAAGGAAGCTGGTATTGCCCTCATTGTGTTTGCCCTATTTGTCGTGACGTTATCACCGTTATGGAGCCTTCAACTTCTTCGGTTGCCTTCTCATGCTTACAGTGTGAACATAAGTGTAATCTATTTTGCTCCCGGATTTGTTTTATTGCAAGATGTCAACTTTGTCTCCTTCACTAAATATATATAGAACTGGACGTGCATGAGCTTACTAGCTTACCAGTTATGTGCAGTCCATAGTTTGAGGAAAGGACGGGTTATCCTAACATCATATATAAATAGATGTTATTCACGAATCCATCTAAAAGGTCATATTACTAAACCCTTTATTTTGAGGGGTTAAATTTATTTAACCTGTTCCAATGAGGTATCCTAATCCTTTTGTCATTTCCACATTTGGCGGATTCAGATAGACTTCTTGCATTTTTGGCAAACTAAAAACCGGTTAATCCTTATTAACCCCTCACTTAACTTGTTACTAGATAGCTTTTGTGAGCACATGTTAAACAAGCACTAAATAACAACTTTTCATGCTCTTTTATGTCTTCGAAGATGTAATTAGCATCTCTTCAGATACATGATTTACCCTTGTTTTTCATATAACACCTCTTTTTCCTCTTGAATAGCACCTCCAGTTATTTTATTGTGTCATTGCAGATCACCAGACATGCCGAAAGGGGAAGGATTTATCTGAAGAGGAAGTAGGATCAGATTCATGGTTCTGTGGAGAAATTTGTCAGGAGGTATGTTTTTCTTCAGCTTGTTAACATGTTTACATATTGGGTTGATTGCCTATATGAGGAGGGTTCTCAACTTATTGACCCTAAATCATTTTATTAACACATACACCGCCTTACTTGACTAATCGTTGCCCATTTTACTCTCACGGGGCCTGTCTGCGAAAAAAAAGAGTAATTTTCTATCCTCCTTCCCTCCTGAAGCTTCCTTTATTGAATTAAAAGCATTTGTTTGTCTTATTCATGTTAGATGCTTGCTTGGAAATATTTCAGACATAAAACCAAATACGGAGTTGTCAACTGAGTAAAATTAAAGGCTAACCTATCGGGGAAACGCAAAATTCTGACACTTCTAGTTTTAAGAAACTAGCATAGGCACATGAATACTTTCTATTAGCTCCTGATTTCTCCACAGGGTTTGAAAGGCATTTTTATAATTATATTGCTGTATGTTCTCCAGGAAGAATGTGCTATTTTGGGAAAAGTGGTCAAACGTGATGGTTAATGGAAGAAAATTTCAGCTTTTGAATAATTTGTATAATATTATGTTGTCAGCCTGCTTAAAAAATTGTTATATTGCATTTGTTCCCACATATGTGCAATATCATCTTTTTTTCTGTGTACTAGTATGCTTGAAAAGTGATTGATGTTCCTACTTCTAACGAGTATCATCATTATTAGCAATAGTATTCTTTCTTTTCATATAATATATCTTGGTTGTCTGCCTTTTGTTGATATTAGGTTTATATGGGTTTGCAATCTCGCATTGGAGAGATGATTTGTATTGGAGATGGATTCTATCGCACAATCTTGAAATGCAACCATGACGATCAAAAGATTCACTCTGCACAAAAGATTGCACTTATGGCAGAGTGTCATGCAAAATTAGCAGTTGCTCTGACTATTATGGAGGAATGTTTTATGCCAATGATCGACCCAAGGACAGGCATAAACATGATTCCACATATCTTGTACAATTGGGGGTGAGATTCTGTTTTGCTGTTTTACTTTATTATTTTTGTTTAAGATTCTATCATTTTTCCTCTTTTAAGATTCTATCCTTTCTCCTTTTTTATTTAAGATTCTATCTTTTTTCCGCTGAAAACCATCAACTCAAATTCTTTTCTAATGTAGTAAACCAAAGGGGAGTCTTTTAAGTTTTAAATCATTTGATATACATTATTAGCCCATAATACATCAGCTTAACCCTTTGAAGCACTTCAGCTGTGAACATGAACTAATTTTATGCTTAAATGGTTTTCCCCCACTTAGCATGTTATTAATGTAAGTTATCTTTTTCACTGAACTGCCTATCTGATGGGTGGCTTGCAATGCAAATTTGAACTGCAGATTGAACTTTACACGCTTGAACTATCAAGGATTTTACACAGTTGTCTTGGAGAAGGGAGATGAGCTTATCTCTGTAGCATCCATCAGGTACTGCTTATTATCAAAAAGCAAGTAAAAAGTTATAAACGTCATTATTTTATACAAAAATGAAATACGACATGACTATTATCAGGTATTGCTTATTTTGTATGACTATTAGCTGTATTATGCAAAGTTTCAAAAGTTTTGTATGTTTTTCTCTCATTAAGTTTAGCACTGCATCTCTAAGTTCAAACTAAGTAATTGCAGTGTCTGTAGAGGCTTAGAGAGTGGATGACCTTTAAAGTTCCAATGCAAGTGAACGACCTCTAAAATGAGGGGATCTGTAAGCTTCAGAAAGAAAGTTTCAGTTTGTACCCAAATCATACCATGATCATAGTCTATGTATTGATAATTTGAGGCAGAAATTAATGCAAATCCTGCAATCCTGGTATCATAATGATAGAAAATAGGGAATTAAAGAAAACAAACATGTGAATGAAACAAGGTTACTTCTATATTCGCTTTGGACTTCAAAAACATCACTCCACAGTAGATAATTTTAAACAGATGTATGAAAGGAAAAGTTTAATGCTATGTCACAAAGTAAAGCAAATAACCATATCAAAGATTGACAGCGCAAAGGGGCTTTAACCCCTAAATTTAAAATGCTCTTTTAGCAGGTGAATATTTGCATATTCTCTCTAGTAGATGAAGCTTATTATAAACCTATTTTCTTATTAATTGTCCATCTAATCTCTCGTAAGCCTACCTATAGTACTCATTCAGTGGCGGATCCAGAAAAATTCCCCGTCTATTTGCCTAAAAATAAAAATATAATATCATAAAACTATAGTATCTAATGGGAATGTACTTAGTACACTTTATTGTTGGAAATTTAGATAGGCTTACTATTTTCCAATGGGCAAATTCAAATTGTTGCTAATATCTTTAGTGTTTTTAGATAGTTTGGGCCTTGGGGTGCAACTTTAAAAATTCGTGGATGTAGAAGTTGCATGACTTTACATGCAAAGTTATACATATTTAGGGTGCAACTGCACCCCAGGTAGATAGCAGATCCGCCCTTGCCTCATTGCTCCATTTACACAATCCTATCGTGTCCAGTAACTGACTTGCTTCTTGACTTCCATGTTTATACCCTTGAAAATCTATGCCGTGCACATACCCTAAATAATTTTGTATTGATATTATGCAAATATTCAGAATAGTTTAGCGGTAATAATTTAGCAATCCACAATGTCCATGAAGTTCATGCTAATTACCATCTTGCCCTTCTTGTGTGTGCAGGGTACATGGTGTCACAGTGGCAGAAATGCCTCTCATTGCAACTGGTACTGAACATCGACACCAAGGAATGTGCAGGCGCCTTATGAGTGCAATTGAAGAGGTGAGAGTAATTATATCCTTAATTTACTTTTGGTTCTAGTTGAACCTTGTTAGTATTATATTTAAAATTTCATCTATTGAGCACTCCTCATAGCTTCACGTGCATCTGTTTGATGTGTTTATTATTGTAAAAGAGGCATCAAAATCGACATTCATCGCAGTTAAGAAGACATTGATTAAACAGTAGTCGTCTAAAGGTTGATGACTTAGCTTAGTTTTAACTTTAAGCATCTCAATGCACGCGATGCATTCATGACAGAGAATGTGGAGTGACGGAGCCGAATTGTCTAGGGAATGAACGATTTGTTAGATTTTTCCCAAGATTGAGGGCATTTTTGGCATTCTGAAGTGTGGCTCACACAAACCGAACGGGGAGCTTCTCTTAATATGCAATATAAATAGATGAATTTATCTTGAGATATGCATTTATTGGATACTACTCAAAGAAATGAATTTTTCGGGATACATTCTCTTGTGGTGCTTGATAAAAGTAAAGCTCATGTTCTGTTTCACCACTTAAAAAGAAACTACTTCCTATTTTTACTCTTTTTACTTCCATTTTATTTTTCATATTGTGTGTTCTTTTTGTGTGTGTGCGTGTGTATGTTATGTGCACACTCATTCGCCCAATCTAGTATACATTTCTACAGGGGTTTGTGTGCATGTTTGGCTAATTTAGTATTTATTGATCATTGAAAAGGTTTAAAATATTGGGGACTGGATGGGAAAGATACATTTCTATGAGGGGCTGTAAGTATGTGTGGCCAATCTAGTATTCATTGATTAATGGAAAGAGTTATATGTGAGGAGTGGGGTAGAATGATACATTTCTAGTGTAGAAGTGCTTCTGCAGTGATCGTGGAATGCCTATAAAATTTAATAGAAAACTAAATGGGACATACATAACACTAGCAATACTTTATGGATCAGAATGTCATGTGCAAAAATGACTAGAGAAGAAATGAGAATATCATGATGAATGTGTGGATATACACTACGAAGTAAAACAACAAATAAATGTACTCCTAAATGCTGTGTGACGATGGATTGAGCTGGTTTGGTCATGTGCAATAGAAGCCACCTAATGTACAAATTAGAAGAAGTGATAAGATTAAAGTTAATGGATAAAAGAGGACTAGAGTTAGGCTGAAAATAACTTGGTTGGAAAAAAATTAGAAAGGATATGGTAGTGGTTAGGTTTGTGAAGAAGATATCCCTTCATGGAAGGATAGGATTCATGCAGCTGATCCCATCTCTTGTTGCTGTTGCTGTTTTGTAAAAGGTGCCTGTGTTGATGCTTAGTAATATATGCTTTTGTTCCTCTTCCCCGATTATCTTATTGGATTGTACCTTATTTTAGTTAACTAGATTCCAATGTATGTGTGTAGACCTAACTGTTTAACTTCGTATTTGGAGGTTTCTGTTGGAAACTCTCATGGTTGACATGCTTATTGTAGCAGCACTTTTTGATGTTGTTATATTCACATGAACTGATCTTCTTACCTTTGTTTTCAATATAGATGCTAAAATCTCTCAAGGTTGAAATGCTAGTTTTATCGGCAATTCCGGATTTAGCTGATACTTGGGTATCAGGTTTCGGTTTCCAACCTATTGAAGACAGTGAAAAGAGACGGCTTAATAAAATAAGCCTTTTGTCATTTCCTGGAACAGTACTGCTCCAGAAAACTTTGCGCGAAGGTAAATTCAATAAATTCCTCAGGTTCTGATTATTGTCTATATACCTCTCTTTCTATAGATAACTTTCTTCAACCTTGTTTATTGTCACCAAATCCACTTCCGTTTGATTAACATTTACAAGAAATACGTTCCTTCCTGACATCTAGACCTTTTTCAGGTACTGTAACAAAGGAAAATGATTCATTGGAGAGCGAAGATAAAGCGCAAGATTGTGCTGAGTTAGATGAAAGTACTCGTGTCAACAGTGCAGAGCGTTATTCTGAAACTGTTAGAGAACATTTAGAATGTGATAGTGAAATAACTCGTTGCAGCAATGTAGAATCTTGCAATAAAGCAGTAAGAACAGTTGGAACCTCAAACACTTGCGAAATGAAGGAGGCCGCTCCTAGGGAACAAGGTCCTCCCGATTCTCTCTTGTATCAAGCTATAGCCAATGGACTCCCTACTGACAAAAGCCTCAAAGAAACCAATTTACCGATAAAAGAAGACAAAACGCCAAATGCCCATATCGATCACAAGGACAATGCTTCAGATACCCAAGAAAAAGAAAGATCACTCTCTCCTTGCGAAGATAAGGAGGCTGAACGTGTTTGTACTCTTGCTAAGGGAAGACCATGATCAATTGCAACTGGTGTACAGTTTGTATATAAGTAGCTGCTAATATTTTGTTTCTATTCGCAAGCCCTTGGTTACAGTTTTTCCTCGTTCCTGATTGGCTTTTTTAGCCTGCTTCAGGGAGCTTGTTGTACAAAGAACTTAAGCTCTAGGGCAATTTTGTAAAGATGTAGCTTACTAGGACTGGCATGTACTTGAATTTTCGATGATCCAGGCTACTTCAGTAACTGGTATCACGTGATCTTCATGAATGAATTAGTAATGTTATTATTATCATTTCTTTCTGTGTACTTGTGAGAGGGTGAGCGTCACGAATGGAAGACGGATACAGTATCTGCATGTATATGCAACAACCGGACACAAATACAAATACTAAATATATACTGATTTGGGCATTGTTGATGTACTAGTGATTATACAGTCAATATGTGTCTGTGTTTGGATGAGTTTGTTAAGAATTGATGAGAGATCGTTTTCTTTCCCGACTTTATATCTGGTTCTTGAGTTGGGAATCTGAAAAATCTACACATACAGAACTTCGTGAGAGGACGGGGTTTGGTTCCCCGGTTGTACCTCTGACGATCAAGTTAGCTAAAAAACTTGAATTTGGTAAATAAGAACTGTGTGAGTTCTTGTGTGTGCAGTATGATTTATAATTTTAGAGACTTTGGATCAGAATCCAGAAAATCAGGGATCAGATTTTCAGTCCTCTGTACAAACAGAATAGTAGTTGTATTTATACCTATGGTATAATGGTAGATTTGTCACTTCGGCCGACTGCAGGAAGATAGTGGCAAAGTGTGGGTTGGCAACTGCGTCAGCATTTGCTTTACAGGCGTTGGCTGGTAATTGGGGGACGGATCACTTCAACATTAAGTGAGAAGTGAGCAGTGGCAGAGTGGGGGTCCATGTGGTCCAATGAGTCATGAAGACTATCGAGGCTAGAGGCATGATGCGTCTGCCATGCATTAAATGCGATGCCGACACGTTGTCAGAGAGAGAGAGAGAGATCTGATGCGAAAACAGTCCTTTAGCTTCGCCTAGAAGTAACGGCCATCGAGTCATCCTCGTGAGGCATTGAACAAGTGGTCGAGTGAACTCGGACGAGTCGTCTTCGACAATAGTCCACGTGACGAGGCGTTGAACAAGTGGTCTTGGACTTCTCTATTTAAGCCACTAACATTTCTTCGCACTAGTCCATATGAGACTAAAGTGCGGGTGTCACAATCACCCCACCTTACAAAGACGATGTCATCGTCGTCACGACATGATAATTGAGACATCCCAGTGTCGTTGTCATGCGATGTGGACTCTAGATGTGGCTTCTACGGGCTCTAGAGGTGGCTCACACCGTATCCATACGGTGTAGCACTTAGCTCCACACTTCCAGCTAGAAACTGCTTTGATACCATTTGTCACGCTCCGGACCCATGGGCCCGTTGGCGCGTGCAAGCCGTTAGACCCACCGAGAGCAACTTAATGTTGACTAAAGTTCACTGTCAAAATGCTAGCACTAGTTGTTTTGGGCCTTAGGTTTCTCTATTTAAGCCATTAACATTTCTTCACACTTATCCATGTGGGACTAAAATGGGAGTGTCACAGCAATGAATTGCACTTTAGCGAAAATGGGAACACCATTACAGACACATATAATATATTAAAGATATATGGATATTGACAGGGATGTATAAGTTAAACAATTGGGTATGTATCCAAATATATGCATCGATCAAAACAATTGAAATAATCTCCGCCTTGATTTAAGGTTAAGTTTGGAATTTCTTGGATTTATAACAATGTCAATGAGGCAGACATCTCCAAAATTTTGATAAAACTTCCTAGAAAAGCAAACATTCAAAGGAGAACATATGGAATATTCCAACTTTCTTCAGGTGGTAACAGCTGATGTTGCTGAGAGGGTGCGTTTCTTTAAACATGTGAACCTATAAGCTTTAATCCTGTAAGCTGCAAGCGCACTAAAGAGATAGAAGAAACTTACTAGCAGAAAATACCAATAGAACCACTCTATAAACAAGAAATTTGTTAGATTATCAAAGACAATGATAACATTACCTATCATTGCGTCAACCTTATTGTCCCTCAGAAGTCAAATTTACATAAAACAAACCTGAGCTCATTCCTCACACTCAGTTTCCTCTTCTTGAAGGTTCACCTCCCAATACCTCCCCGACTTTGATCCTAAAAAATTCTCCTTTCTAAACCAAATATCAATTACCTCTACAATGCCGGGCCTCAGTCCTCATCCTCAGTTTCTTCATCATCACCATTTACCTCCCGATATCTCCAACTCTCTCCTGCAACATTCTCATTCTCTTCTTCGGTTTCCTCACTATCTTCTTCATATATATCTCTGCTTGGTGGCCACTGCTGCTGCTTGCTAACACTGACACTTGCAGAAGCCAAAGGAGAGCTTTTCTGATATGCTAGTTTTGCTGGTGGCATTTTGTGCTGCAGACTCGGCTTGTTTCTTTTAGAACTCTTGGCAACACCGCCTTTTGCAATATAGACATCTTGATCACTGGCTTCTTCTACTGTATTATGGCCGGGATGTTGATTTTTCAAGTGAAGGTTCAACTTGTATTCGTGAATGTAGTTCTTTCCACAACCTTCGTAAGGACAGACATAAGGGCGATCAGAAGAAGGGGAACTGTAAACTACTGAAGGAGAGGCCTTCACGATATTGTGGGGTTTCTCTGCTGGCGGTGTATGCTTCATCACTTCCACTGCCGGATTCTGAAATAATAGAATTGTACATAAACATCATCTGTCAGATGTTTAAAAAAATATTATGTGCAAGAAGAATATTACGAAAAAGATGATTTTTGGGGACATCCCATGCTTCTGAGGTAAATATGTTTTCATCAAAAAGGTTGCACAATAGTTATACTATAAGCCTTTATAAACTTATGTTCTGAACATCTTAAAATACTTCTGTGTGCAAATTTGTCTATGTGAGTACTTGCAGAAATACTAACAGTTGAAGGAGCCTGCATGATTGATAACTCTAGATATATTTTAAGGAATTGCCCAAAAAAGGACAGCAATATGTATCGGGTTTGGTTTGCCTTTTTATCCGGACAAAGCAGAGGGGTTTAACCATTGTTTTAAATATCCCCGACATGGCCCGATATATCCCCCGATATATCCTTTTACAGGGTTTGCCGCATTGTTTTAAATATCCCCGACATGGCCCGATATATCCCCCGATATATCCTTTTACAGGGTTTGCCGCAACCGATATGGTCTTTAAATATTCATGGCCCGATATATCCCCCGATATATCCTTTTACAGGGTTTGCCGCAACCGATATGGTCTTTAAATATTCATTACCGCTTTCTGGCTATTTGGAGTGATAAATCCCCGATATGGCTGATATACTAGCCGATATGTGGATCAATATATCTTTTTATATAGCTTGTTACAAAATAATATACCGTGTTTGGAATTTTTAGGCAAGATATCAAGATTTTCCCATTATATCAAATGATATTTTGCCCTAAAAAAGCAGATCGAATGTTGCAACGTTGCTTTGCACTTTTGTTTGTTTTAGAAGGTTGATTCCTAAACATATATTATTCATATTTTTTATGCTTAAATTTTATTACATATGTTGAGATTACATTTTAATACATTCTACTATGTATGCAAACATTCATTATGGCATTCTGATATTTACCACATATCCCCGATATTTCCCCGATATCTACTATGTATGCAAACATTCATTATGGCATTCTGATATTTACCACATATCCCCGATATTTCCCCGATATCCGCAATCCGATATGAATTTTGGTCATCCGATATTTCCCCGATATCCGATATTTAAAACCTTGGGTTTAACGAAAACCAGTTTATGCAATCAATGAAAATTAATGCAAATAGGAATAGCTAAAACTTGAGTAAAGGCCAAATTAGTTCCCATGGAAACAGGTAAGTTGGTCCATTTCAAGTTGTTAATATTTTAACCTCCTTACAGTCTTATTTTAGCTATGGGTATGGGTATTTTGGTAACCCTTAATTCGGAAGAGGTTTTTATACTGATCCTCTCCCACTCGGTCTCTGTTTTATTTTATTACTCTTAATTCTCCGCCACGTTTCCCAGCTTGCTTCTTCTCAACTTCTTTAGTTTATTATTATAATTAACAACTTCACATATATACCCATTTCTTCAAAGATTTGAGGAAGCAAAACATCCCAACTATCACTGAACTGAAATTTTGAATCAGGCAGAGCATCAGAATAATCTGAAGAAAACAGACTTTCTCAATTTATTCATCCATCCAATATTTGCCCAGATGTTGGCAACTCAATATAAAACACCTCAACTTCAGATAGCAAAGAGTTCAACAAATGTCCTCAAATTTGAACAGGTTTCATTTAGAAATAGCCTATTGTCTCTAGTTTCTTCTCCACTTAGAANCAACAATAACCCCAGTTAGTCAAATAATTTAATTTATCATAATAGAGCTGGTATGTAAGCATTGCACCTGCTCATTTTTAGCAAACTCCAACTGACAAGATTAATTCAACTTCACCAAACTACTAAATCTAAAGATAAGAGAAAAAACTAACTAGACAAAACTAATATGTGATTAAATTTCACCGAAAACTAAAAACCCAAATAGCAATAAACTAAATGGTAAACCACTAAATCAACTAAAAAATAACAAATCATTGAAATCAGATCTTAACTAAAGGTGAGATAGCATGCACCAACTCCAATTAAATCAACTCTCAGGGGCAAAAAAAAAAAGTGAAAGTAGTTCTTCATCACAGACCTATGTGTTTTATAGCTTATAGATTCCCTCCAAGAATATAATATATTACTACAAAAACAAGTGATATAAAATATGGTTGTGCAATAGTTTCAAAAATCATTATTAAGGAGTAGTATTACCTTTTCATGGTGCATCTTGATGTGACTTTTTAGTTTGCACTCCTGTGTGTACCTTTTGCCACAATCTGCGTAAGGGCAAACATGATAATGCTCTTGGGAATGAATTTTCATATGCGCCCTTAAGTTAAAATCCAAATTGAACGCCTGCATAACAGCATACAGGCAGAAAATCAATTATTTGCAAGACGCAAGATTTCTAATCTAAACAGTACGATATTTAGTGGCACCAATATCAGTGCAAAAGAATTGAACATATATGCAGGAATAGACATTTCAAAAGACAATATAAGCAAATATATGAACTAGCAAAAGCAGAGAGTGAGCAAGTAAAAAGGGTTCACCATTCTTATTTAAAGGGAAAACATTTAAGAATCATTTACCGTTTTGAAAACACAAACAGCAAAGTTTACTAACAAGTGAAGATATTAACAAGTGAAGACAGAAGCAATCTTGAGCTAAAGAATAGTCTCCATTAAACTGAAACTTGAGGAGTGTTTGGCAAGCCGAAAGTTAATTGAAAGTGTGAAAGTCACTTTTTGTTACAAATGTGAAATTGCATTCAAGTCTGTGCAAGTGACATCAAATGTTGGTTTGCAAAACAAATTATTGTTCCATGAAAAGAAATACATGCCTGACACATATATACCCAAAAAAGAAAAAAGAAAAAAAGGGTCCACGAGAAAAAAAAACATGTCTGACAAGATCTCATATTTCACTAGACCAGGGAAAGATATTCACCTTGCCACATCCTTCATGAGGACAAATAAAATTCTTTTCTCCAGTATGAACAACTTGATGCCTCTTCAACTTAGAACTATCTAAAAATTTCTGCAAAGCATCAGAAGAGGCTAGAGATCAATGGATGAAAAGGACAACCTCAAAGTAAAATTGAATGTAACATCAAACACTTTGTATGGTAACCATTAGCAAATGCTCACCCTAATCCTAAGTGATAACAAGTAATTATTAAGTGACAAAATAAGTGAGGAAATGTGTCATGGAAACTATATTATTTGCCAAATTCCAAGTTCAAGCAAGTACCTCGCCCATCAGGTTATGTTATAGAAAGTCTTACACAGGATACATAAAAGATCATGTGTAAGACGGGGCGGGGCGCGCGGGGGGAGGGGGGGTTGTAAGGAAGTGCAAATGAAGAAGAAAGCAAACATGAAGACTCATGTCCAAAGACCTAGCCGAATGCCACCCTACTCACACACTCATTCAGTCTGACAAGAAAACACATAATAGCGGGGGGAAATGACAGAGAAAAGACAAAAGGTACAAAAAGAACGTACGGTTAAAAGTAAATTATACATTTTATTTCTTTATAAATTTCTGAGCAGGAATATACTTTAGTTGGAAATTGATATATAGACCCATTTTCTCATTTAGCAAAACAATTAGATGGACCTTGTCCTCTAGCAATAATAAAAGAGTACGAAAGAATTAGTGTACATGTCTGTAACACAATCTATAGGTTTCAGACTAAAATTATGTTAAACAGAAAGCCTAATAGGTTAAGCTGCATCTCCTATTATTCCCTTTGATCGTTTGTTCAAACTGACTTGGCTCGCAAGTAGATGTTAGGATTCAAAGCAATGGTAGCCATAATTACGCATGAATTACCTTTCCACAGCCAGGAAAAGAGCAAGCATATTGCCTCTCACCATGGATATGAGCATGTTTCCTGTATTGACTTTCATTAGGGAAAGCTTTGTTGCAACCTTCATAGCTGCAGAGGAAGAGAATCTCAGTAGTTGGTTCAGGTTTTGGCTCCTCTGGTTCAGGCTCCTTAAACTTCTCTTTCAGAACTTTTAACATATCCTCTATACACAACACATTGGAGTTTGCATTATTTGGTAAGCAACAAATGGCACAAGATAACTTGAAAAAAATAACGAGCAACTCTTACGAGAACTAATATAACAGACTCGTAAGTAATTACAAAAGCAAAAGGGAATATGAAACCAAAAAAAATCTCTTTCCAAACTTAGTTTCTCTTAAAATCCAAAATTTTAAAGTTTTTGGGAAAAGGTACGCAGTAAAGTTAAGTTTCTCCGAGCATTACTTTGAAATACCACATTTTGGATATAAAATTTCATGTTATTAAGTTAAAGAATTCTAAGTTTTCATGCCTAGTTGTCTAAGGGGCTGTTTGTTTGCTCAAAAAAAGTGAGAAATGGAGGATTTGAAATCTGACAAGTGACAACAGTGCCACATAGGATTTTGATTTCAAGACATTTCCATTCCCCGCATTTGGTTCGCTGTGTGATTGAAAGAAATGAGGGGGTGAAATGGGGTGCCACGTCAGCTTTTGTAGAAAACCCATTTTAGACCAAAATGGGCTGAAATGGGTGAGAAATGTCACTTCAAGCAATTTTTAATTGCTCAAAGCACTGTTGAAACGGCGGCTAGGATTAAAAGGTAATATTTAATTGCTCAAAGAACTATTGAAACGGTGGCTGAAATGATATTTCTTAATTTTTTTTATGTTCAAACAAACCCAAGAAATAGAAATCCTTGTTTTCCAGCCTATGATTTCTATGTGAAACAAACCAAATAAATCAAATGGGGGGAACCCTCTGAAATGTCCAGAAATGGTTTTCAAACACCGTTTTATGTTTTTTTTTGGGAAATGTACCAAACAGACCCTAAAAGAAACGAAACTTACCGGGGTTTTCCATAATAATCTTGACAACGCTTTGATTCAAAAGAATTCATCTTATAATTAAGGAACAATAATTATCTTCCCTCGATAATATAGGATAAAGGTGGATGTAACTTCATCTTTTACTAATCAAGAGAAACAATGAACACTAGTTGATATTCTCGTTCTTTTCCTTCCTCATCAACTACTTTCCCCAGCTACATTGAATTTGTTCGTAGTAAAATGTTCCACATATTAACCCTGCACTATTATATTTTAAATAAAAAAAAGTTGCAACTTATTAAAGAAGATCAATCAAAGCATCAAATTCTACCAAATGATAGTAAACACGGTTCAAGATGAAGACTTCAACTAATAATCACCTCTAACCCACTTCAAAAGATAAACCCTCTTTCCAGTCCCTGCAACCTCCTGCGGAATCCTAAAAACCAAAACACATCCCACAAAAAGATCACAAACCCTCGAAAAAAATCAACCAATCCAAATAAAAACCCATAGAATCGCAGGCTCACCAATCCCTAACCCATCGAACCGCTGGATTCCGCTGCCGAACGAACGATCGCCGCACGAACAGCCCATTGTTCGAGTGATAATCCATCAAAGATTCCAACTTTTTGACCTCGGTTCTTTCAAATTAGGTGTTTTTTTTTCTTTTTTTTTCCCCTCCTCCGCTCAAGAGGATGAAGGAGAGGAGGTTGTTAGGGTTGGGGAGAGGTTAAATAGTGATAAGGGTTGGGATGGACACGTGATGGGGATCTGATCAGCGTGTGGTAATGGCGAGGGTATAAAATTAGGGAGAGCGCATATAAAGAAGGGAAGGTCGCCATGGTCGAATCCTATTTGCCCTCTGCTGCTTTGAGGTTTGCAATGGTTTTCTTGGGATTAATTTCATAAGACCCCCTGAACTTTGGGGATTTCTCAGACCCCGCTAAACTTTCAAATACTCCCACATGGCTCCCTAAAGTAAAGGTGTCGGTAAATCAATGAGCTGCACGATCAAAACACTTGAAGGTTTTGAGAGTTTAAGGGGTTTTAGGAAGACACCCCAAAGTTCAATAGGAGAAGAGGTTGAAGAGGGCTTCAAAAAAAAAGCCTCAAATTTGAGGGGGTTTTGTGAACTTTTCCCTTTATTTATGGCGCCTTCAGATATTAGAGTCTTTGTAGGAGTCTTACAATTTGGTCCTCGATGACCAAAATGCCCCTCAACTAATATGTTCCTCAACAAGAGGGATTATGGGGGAACCATAAATTGAGGAGTATTTCAGTCATCAAGGAACAATATTTGAGGGACTAATTTGTAATTATTGAATATTTGAGGGACTAATTTGTAATTATTGAATATTTGAGGGACTAATAATAAGCCTTTATTTTAAATATTTGGTAAGAAGAGTTAGGGGAGAAGTTTTATGCAGCTAATTGCTTATTGAGGAGCCAGTGATGCGTTGATCCCCGGCAACCTCTAAAATAATCACCACCGGCACCTGCAAGACTTGGATTGCCTTCAGAGGTCCTACATGCTGCGTCGAGTTTCACCTAAGGCTGAGCATGGTTCGGTCCAAACCGAAAAAACTGACCAAACCGACCCGAAAAAATCAGTTTTAAGAGTAGGATGGTTCGGGTCGGGTTGAAAACTTTTCAACCCGAACCGACCCGAACCGACCGAATACCCCATGATCTAAATACCCATTTTGCTCAAACCCGACCCGTCCCCAAAGACAAAGTCTCAGACTCTCAAATCCTAAACACCTAAACTTCCCTTCCACCTTTCCCAGCCGCCTCCTCAGTTCCTCTCTCTCTCTCTCTCTCTCTCTCTCTCTCTCTCTCTCACTCCTCAGTCCTCAGTTCCACGGTCCACCTCTCTCACTTCCTCTTCCTATTCCTCACTTCCGCAGTCTTCATGGCCGAGGCCGAAACATCTCCTCAGGCTCAGAATCTGTCTCCGGCTTTGGGGAGAACACTCGCACCCGTCGCCGTCGCTGTCGCCGAGACCAAGGTATAAACTTTATCTTTTGCTCTTCTTCAAGCTTCTGACTGCGATTATTCTTTAATTTTGATTTATTTCCTTGGATACAGCAGCTAGTAAGTTGATATATCGACCTATCAGTTTCCTGTTCATTTATGCACTCCTATTCTCTTATGATTTCTGAGTTTGTGCTTTGATAATAATCCTTAATTTGTTTTCTGGTATATATGTTTTCATGGATGATGATTTTGTTACTTTTTTCCCCTCTTGTTTTTCCAAATTAAGTCGGCAACCCCTGAAATACTACTATTTAATATTCATGGGATCCCTTACCCATCACGATATATTCTATTTGATTTAGCATTTGGCAAGTCTACTGTTTAAGTCATTCTGAAAATGAAATTAGAACCGAACAAACCGAACTGAACCACCTTGCAACGGCTCGGTTCGGTTTTGAATTATATGCGGTTCGGTTCGGTTGTTTAAAATTTGGTAAAAACCGATCCGAACCGAACCGTGCTCAGCGCTAGTTTCACCCATGGATAAGGACGATGGTTCCGCCCAAATGGTCGCTCCGCTCGTTGGACATGAGCAGCTTGTTCCGGACCCCACCGTAGACCCTTGCGTAGCCCGAAATGATTAGAATCGGGTCACGCGGAGCTACAAAGTTTTGCTCAAAGTTTCTGTTGATTTCTCCAACGCCATAAGAACCAACATGTTACTCCAAAAATAATGCTCCTCGTAATGAAAAACTATTTGCGAATGGTCAGCCAGATTATCTTTAACCAAACTGTAACCCTGCAAGCTATAAAATAAATAAATAAGGGGCTGCACATAAGTAAATTTCATATACATAGATGTATGATGTTAATAATGTTTGGGATCAATTAGAAAAAGATAGTGTTTGGAAAGATAATATTCATAACTAGATAGCTCTTAATTATGATCCAAAGTCTAAAAATTTTAGATTCAAAGTTGAAAGCATTGGATCTAAGATGCAAGCGTAGAAGGGAAGTGAATAAAATTGCTACCCTTTTGTAAAACCCCGAAAATTTGAATATAGGGTGATAAATAATTATAAATATGTTATATGATGAAAATAATATATTTTGACGTTTGAGTATGATAGGAATTGATTTGAGATCAATTTAATGTATATTTGTGAATATATGAGTGTAAATACACAAAACATGCACAAAGGCAAATAGTGATAATCTGAGATTTTTGACCCGTTGAGAGTTTCTATGTTTTTCATACTGATTCAGTTAGAATCTGGAAAAGTGTATAAGAACAAAGTTGTAGGTCTCTTCAATAGATTTCCAAAAAATCTTAAATCAACTCATTCCGAGATCGTATGAGAAAGTTACAACCTTTTTACCGAATCCCAGTCTGAGCATGACCCAGAACTCTGAGCAGTCGACCGCCGTGGTCGCTGCGGTCGACCGCTCAGCGTACAAACGCCAGTTCAGTTCTGTTTCAGGTTGGTTTTGTTTATACCAAACCCGATTGTTACCCTACTTATATATACTCGTTTTGAAGCTCTCAGAACCCTCTTTCAAACCCTAATAGCCTCAGCCCCCCTTCTCTCTCTCCTCTCAAACCCTAACTTCGTTTTTGGCATTTTTGGGGCGTTCGAAGGATTTTCGGCGGAGCTTTGCTGTTCAGATTGAAGGAGGATCTTTCTCACTCATTTTTGGGTGTTCATCAACCCCCTCAGGCGAGTAACATCTCGCCCAATCTCTCACCCTTGTTTTTATAAGTTTTTCTAACGATTTTAATGAGTTTTCTTGAGCCTAAATCACTATTTCGCGTACTTAGATAGATCCTTATGATATGTGATGTGGAAACTAAGTATTTTAGTTTTCAAATACCCACCAACGATTTTTGGTTAAAGAGATCTAACTGAAAATGTTTTATTAAGAGTTAAATTTCTGATTTTTATTATTTTATAAAGTTTAAAACACGGGTATACATGTTCACGATTTTTTTTTGGTGATGATTTTTACATGCTAAATGTTGTTATATGATGATTCATATGTATTAGATTATGTGATATATCATTTGGAAGCAGAGATGTATTGTTTGGATCAATTTTCGAAGTAGAGAAAAACCTAAATTTGGGCATCTGCCAATCTCGCGGTCGACCGCAGCGCTATGTGCGGTCGACCGATGGGCGTTCTGTCGAGCAGAACATCTCTGCTCATTTTGCGGTCGACCGGAGTGGCCTCTGCGGTCGACCGCGATACTGTTTGTGCAGGAGTATATTTTGTTGTGTATATTGTGTGTACGAATGGTTTACCTCGATTTTTCTGGCATTAAATCTACAATATGGAACACTTGTCTATACATGTGAGTTGACACTTTTGACACAAGTTTAGACCCGCACATCGAGACACGTGCGAGTTTAGGATATGTATATCTTTCCACATATACCTTTGACAATTGCACCTCTTTACTTATAGTCCATGTGTTGGGCATACATTACTATTGTATCTTTTGTGTATGTAATATATCATCGACACTTGTGTTGGACATGTATTACTTTTTAGTCCTCGTGTTGGACGCTCATTCCATTCAGTCCTCGTGTTGGATATTCATTTTACTTAGTCCTCGTGTTGGACATACCTTTTAATCCTCGTGCTGGATATGCTTTACCATCTGGTCCATGCGTTGGACAACGGTCACATCCGGTCCATGCGTTGGACAACGGTTATAATCAGTCCACGAGTTGGACGTTCACTTGCATATTAGACCACGCGCTGGACATTTGTTAAGCTATAAGTATGACGCTTATCTAAATCAGGACATAACATGATTTCATGAGATTTGGACATGATAGCTACCTAGACTGGACACGACACTTATGTGATATCGACCTTTGACACTTATATGGTTTCGGCGTGACTTTTGATTAAGTATTGAGATGGGCTGTTTCTTTTAGTTTATTATTCATGTAGTAGACTTCGGGTTTGGTAATTAGGGATTTACAATTTGAGATAAAAGGTATATACATGAGGGTTTCCTTGTTTGGATTATTTCGCTCGACGTACCTATGCTCGTGTTGTAATTTCCTAAATACTAAAACCCATTATTTGCTAGGAGTAATGATTTTAACTATTATGTAATAACTGTACTTTCTGTATACAACAAGCCCTCTCCCTTGGGGTTGGTTGTGATGTTGCTCGCTAGCGCTTTGACGCTCGTTGTCCCTCCCCCTTTCAGGTAACGAGCCAGGAGCCCGGAGAGTCGCAGGTTGATGGCGACACACTTTAGTGTTCAGCTGACTATTTTTAGATATGTTTTATTTTGGAGCTCCACTGTAAACTTTGTTTAGACATTTGAGGACTTTATTCTAGATGTTGTAAAGGCTGTGTGCCTTATTTCCTTTACTCAGACTTATTGTATTTGAGATTTGATAAGAACTCCAGTCTATTCATTTCAGATATTGACTTTGTATTTCTATATGTTGGATGATGAAATATCATTTTGATCTCTTTCATTTCATCAGTACCTCTTGCATTATCTATTACTTGCTTTTGTACCTACACCTGTTGTTGACTCTACTAGAGAGATGTTAATTGTGATGGTGAAACATGTTATTGCACGGTGTGGTGCATGACAGGTTTGACATCTCTGGTTTCACCTCGGACTGCAGCCTTGTGTGAACCCAGGGGCGTCACAGTAACATATATATATATATATATATATATATATATATATATATATATATATATATTTATCTCACTTACTGTGATAATTAAGCTCTCATTTTGATATTATAAATATCAAAACGAGGATGTGGTCGAGGTAAAACTCGCACCTGGAGAGCTAGGCATACAGAACCGAGCCGCAGCAGGATCCACAGTATTTGATCGACTTTATGGCACCGTTATCAACGAGATCTCACAACACTCGAGGAGCAAGAAGTGTATCCGTTTCCGTCAGCAAGACCA